TGTTGCGGTCACCCATGTTGTCTATGGTCCACAGTTAGCAAAAGACAACATCTATCCGGCGCAAGGACAAAACTTACTATCAACAGTGATGTAACCTTCACCAGAGTCGGCATTGACGAAGACAATCGAGTGGCTGGCCCTGCTGGCCATGGTCTGGATCTGCGAAGTGGCGTAGTTGTCTGTGACCGAAGTGATCACGCCGCCATTCTCGCCAACCTCACGCTTGATGGCTTCGAGAGGAGTGACGAGGTAAGGGAAGTCTGCAGTTCCCGAACCCCAGCCCATGGCCAAGGTGCCAGAGTCGCAGCCGCGGTCAGCGCATCCGTTGGGGCCCAGCGGGTTTTCGCCAGCATCTTCTCCAAATACAGCAGTCCACTTCTCCTTTCCAGAGAGGGGAAGGACGCCAGAGTTCTTGAGGAGAACGGTTGACTTGGCAGCAGAGCGGCGGATGGAGCGGAAGTGCTCCTCGCGAACGTCAATGTGCTTGTTGATCAGACCGAAGCCCTTCTTTCCGAAAAAATGCTCGAATCCGTACGTGCTAGTTTGCCAGCTGTCAAAGTTGACAGGGATAGACTCATCAAGGCCGACAAAGTAGTATGCGGTCATGATACGGATGGCCGCATCGTCGAGACGCCACTGGGGAATGGTGCCGTTGAGAATGGAGACGGTCATGTTAGCGCCCCAGAAGGACAGTCCAGTGTTGAATCCAGTATCACCAGGCATAGTCATGTCCAATCCAGCATAAGCCGACGCAACGCCCGAGTGCTGTGCATCCCAGTCAGATCTAAGCATAATGTTAGTCTCGTCTTACGCTTACAAAGTCTATCGCTATGCTTACACAATGAAACCCTGGAAGCCAAGCTCGCCCTTGAGAATATAGTTTTGAAGGTGCGAGTTTTGGCAGAGTTGCGAGTTGTTGGCCTTGTTGTAAGAGCACATGATGGCACCAGTACCAGCGCGGACGGCGTCGGCAAAGGGCCACAGGTAGAGCTCGTGTAGAGTCGTGTCATCGGTATTGGAGCTGATGGCATCGACAAAGGGGATATCTCCGAAACTGCCGGGCTGACGGAAATGTTCTTGCTCGTTCAGAAGGAAGTGCTTAGTGCAGGCAATGACACCAGCATCCTGGATACCGCGGACTGTTTCGCTCACGGCCACACCGGAAAGTACAGGATCAGGACTGAAGCCTTCCCAGTTACGCTAAAAGCGTGTTAGTGAATGCGAAAAAAAAAACTCCGAGTATTGTAGCAAACTTACACCGCCCTTGGGGTGGCGACCAAGAGGTCCAATGGCAGGACCAAGCTGAACGTCGACTCCCTTCCTTCGGTGCTCCTTACCCATCTCGTTACCGCGGGTGTAAAACTCATAGCGGTCCCATGATGCAGCAATGGTGCCACCTGCTGGGAAAGCAGAAACGTAGTCTGCGAAACGGATGCCGAGAGGGCTGTCCTGGAGGCAGAGGGGATCAAAGCCAAGGCGAGGAATAGCGCCCACGTTACCAACGCAGTGGTCGCTCTGCCATCCAGTGCCGGTGGTGAGGTTGACCTTCTCAATAAGAGTCAATTGGCTAACAAAAGCCTTTGCTTTTTCATAGGCAGCCGCCCAGTCCTTGGTGGTGGGATCTACCCAACTGGTGTACAGTTAGAAAGATGTTGCAAATATCAGGGTCTACTACTACGGCGTCAAGTTTGGGTGGCGCCATGGCTAGGGCCTGCAAGGTGCACCCGTCACCCGCAAGAACAAGTGCCGAATGCAGTACTTTGCAGCAGCCAGGGTCTTTCAACATAGAGACAGCATATACGTACGGACTTGGGTAGAATGGCGGGCTCTGGGCATTGTTCAAAGAATCACTGCCGGTGTCGTTGGTAGCACGAGGGAACCTGGGCGATGCCTTTTGTTGTTGTTGTCAGTTTGAGCGCGCAACGAGCGTGTTTGGGTGCAATTGCAGAGCGACTGAACAGGGCCAGACTGGTATTGTCGGCAGAGTCATGCCGTCGCCATAAACGCGTGGTGGCGTTGGTTTGGACGTACCTGGGCAAGGCCGACCAACAATGCTTGTGCAAGCCACAGCATGATGGCGTCTGGGTGACTGGGGAACGCAGAAGCAGAGACACGAGCAACACAGCAACAGATGCTACTAGTGAGGCAACCTGCAACGAGGACTTGAATGCACTCGCAGACACAGTGCAGAAAAAACCTCGGGGCATCATGGTAGCTTTATTTCATTGCGCGCCCAAGCAAGGGACAAGGGCAGATCGTCCCCAACGACCTGTCTCCATGCTAGCACCATGCGCCTTGCCCCGTCGCATCCCCAGGCGCAAGCGGCAATCCAGGATGGTTCTGGTTGCGGGGACCATGATGCATCATTGCCTGCTGACCCCTGCCCCGCCCCCCTGGGGTCTCCTCTCGGGGCACCGCGTCTCCCTTTGGACGCCCAAAGAGGCCGCCGTGGTGCTGTTGGCTGCTGGCTCGACGTCGGCTTCGGGTGTGGACATGGATATCCAAGGGCTACCGAACAGCTGCAGAAGACCGCAAAGTCGGCACCAATGTGTCGATATTCTACATTCCCTTTGCCCTGCACCCACACCGAGAGGGCATCGACTGCACATCCGTCTGCACTCGAGTAGGGCGCCCGGCCAATGCATGAGCCGTGCACAGGGCCTTGTACATCGTCATCTACCATCCTCGGACGTGCACACAAGCTCCCCCTCCGAAGCCTTCTTGGACGCCACACAACCGTCCAAACTCTGACAAGGAGGGTTGGATTGCGCGCTATCTGGCTGCCCGTGTCATTTCCCTCAAGCCCAGGACGGCGCCCAGCATGCGGGGGTCCCTGTCGTCAACGAGCACTTGTTCGCTCAACTATGCCTCTTGCTCTGCCTGTCGCCGGCAAGCTACGTACCACTGACCGATGCTCCGCTACCTTGGGACATGACATGCCGTCAACGGCTCCCCGGAGCCTGCCCACCATCACCTGCAGCCTCCACAGCGTCTGCATACGTACAAACGTTGGCTATACTTCGGCAATTCCTTTTGGGAAGCGTTGGCCGTCGTGCCCACCCCAGATGGGCGTCTGGACAATGGCCGCTGGGATAGTGACCAAGAGACTAGTATCCAGTAGGCCGCCATGCGCGTCCTAGCATCCTGTGTTCCACCGGGTGATGTGGTAAGCACAGAGCAAAACGGCTCCAGTTTCTCCTCCACTGCTCCACCCTTGGCAAGTAGTACATGCAAAAGTCACTCACGTCACCGACACGCCGCCTCCGATGTTGGCCCTTCGGTACCACGCTTCGGTCTCCAAGTAGCATCGCGTCTACGCCTACCGGAATTGCGCGCCGTCGGACCCCTTCGGCATGTGATCAGGAATACTTAGCGCCTTACTTGGCCTACCCGCGTCTTGTCATTGTAGTCGTGATGAAGATGGGACAAGGTACCGCAGCAGCTTCAACATGACATCGGGGGTACAAAGCGCGCGCCTTGCGCCTTGCCCGTTTGCCGACACTTGCAGGATTTGGCTTACAGAACAGGCTTTGCCCCTGTCGCACATCGGAGTATTAACTTTGTATATGTATCTCTAATTTACCTCGACTCCTACTACGAGCCTCGGACGAACATCATGGTAGCCAGTCGTCGTCTTTGGTCCGCTAGCAAAGGGGCGCACCGCGGTGCATCAACGATGAAGAATCATCATGGTACATGTCTGCCGTTCAAGAAGCCGCATTGGCCAATGCCCTTGTACCCCGCATGGAGGCGGCTGGCTAGCGTCATTTTCTAGAACTTCACGCTTGGCATCCCCGTAGACTTGAAAACTTGCTTGGACACCTGACTCTTGACATGACAGTCTGGTTCGCTTTCTCAAAAGAAGCATGGTAACGCAACCATGCTGAGCACCCCGCGGTTGTCCTCTGCACCATATTAGCTCTTCGTATTACTGCTAGGAAGTACAAGTATGTAAATAAAGTTCCAAACGGGCTCTTGTGCAAGAAAATGCGCTTGCTCAATTTTGAGCAAGACGTTCTACCAAGATTGCGGCTTTCGGGTACCGTCTTGCACGGCTTGGACGGACGATGAGGTGCGCTGGCATCCAATCGCTTCGACAAAGGCTCGGGCCATGTCTAGTAAGCCTATTTCCAAGGCTACAGCATGGAAGTAAACATGGAACACACTCCTTGCCCATTGTATTGGCGACGAGAGAAATCAATACAGCGCCGCTGACCCTGCAATCTTTGAGGCTTAAATTAGCCCGCAAACCCACGCAAATAGTACAAATTCTACAGACTAGGTTGGGCATACGCGTAATCAAACCCGCTGCCCGAAAAAACACCCGCCTGATGCCGTTCGGGCCTAGGCCAAAAACAGCAAAAGCACCTCGACGGAAGAATGAATCAGTGGCTAACGGCGTCGAGCAAAAGTGAGGGTAGTGGGGCTGCCAGAAGAGGCAGACATGACTACCACTACTTATGCTAGACGCTGGGGGCAAGCAACGCACGGACCTGCGGTGACTTGTTGATGCAAAGTAAACATTACCTCTCCGATACCCCTTGCTTCAGAGCCGAGTCGATATATATATATGTACGAAAAGACTCCTCACCGCCCTCGAAAGGCTTTGAAAAGGGCGCAAGGCCTCCGCTTGACACTGCAGAAGCTCTAGAACCAGGCAGTGCTTCTTCAAGGGCTGAAGCTCTCGGGCGCCGCTCAGCCTCATCATGATTCCGCCAAGCAGCGAATTGTTCAATCATAGGCCATCGAGATGTCGTCTGAATCCATTTCCAGGCACGATGCTATCATCGCAGTTAGGATGAGATTGTGGACAGATTCTCTCCACAAGATCCTGGTCAGGCCAACCATGTCGGAGGGCTCAAGGCAGTCGCAAGGCAGCACCGCCTTAGTTTGAGTCAACCGCCTTTCTCGGGTCAAGCTCGTACGCATGTCTTACCATATAACGCTTGTATTCAGCTCAAATTTATGAAGTCACAAACTTCTTCACCATCACCTTCACCATGGGCTGCAGGCTCTCTCGAGCGGTACGGCTGCACGTGAAAGCTGAGGCCTCTATCGCCATTTCGTCTACCTATCACAAGGCTGAGCACACGGACACATCACAAAAGTGCAAAGAGAGTGTACCGCAACCATTACGGCCTTTCTCTCACGACGACATCACAATCACATCTTCAGCCACGCTGCCGATAGTCTGCCAAAGGCGGAACAGCGCGCCCACCACGACCATGGAGACAACACAAGAACCCACTGCCGCCTTCAGCCTGTTCCTTGCAGAGCATTGCCTCATGTCGATTCAACTTCCAGATGCCGAAATTGATGGGCCCACCGTCGCAACAGCCCCATCCACTCCGGCACCTCCGCAGCCCACCGATGTTTTGGAGGAGTCCAGCCCGGAGCCTAGCAATGCTTTGGAAGGGTCCACCGTCCGGTGTATCACTTGTTGCACAACAATGCCTAACGAAAAGGACAAGTTCTTCCAGCCCTGTAAGAATTGCGATAGTGTATATTGCGGATCATGTATTAGATATTTATTTATCGAAGCCTGTAACGACATGACGCGCATGCCGCCACGGTGCTGCGGCCCAATCCAGTTACACCACGCAAGGCCTCATTTGAACGGGGAAGAAATCGCTGTATTCAAAGCAAAATATGAGGAGTGGCTGACTCCAAACCCCTTCTACTGCCCTGTACCTACATGCTCAGCTTTCATACCAGAACGACTTCTTCCTGAGCAGATAAAATCGAACAGAAAACGCACAGATTCTGGGACCGGAATACCAACTTCGAAAACTTTTGCATGTCCTGCTTGCGAATCAAGCATTTGCGCAGACTGCCGACTGACTGCACACCCTTCCAGTGCGTGCAATGTCTCCGAGTTTGGCATCGACGAAGAGACCACTAGACTCCTGAAGAGCTGGGGCTATAAGCAGTGCCCAAAATGCCGGCATGGAATCAAGCGTATGTTTGGGTGTAGGCATATGGAGTGCCGTTGTGGGGCTCATTTTTGCTTCAACTGCATGGGCAATCCAGATTTTTGCGGGGATGATTGTGTCGAAGACGAAGACGATGAGGTGGAGAGCGACGATGGGAGCACGTTGGAACCATCAGAGTCACCCGAAACATCCTCTACGCAAGGGAACCATCAAGATACTGAACCACATGTTGCACCACCGGCCGAAGCCGTCAATCTCGATAGGGGAAGTGCTTCATACTGGGCAGCGCAAGCGCTGGACTTTGGTGAAGAACCAACTCAGGATTTCGCGGACCGCGCTTGGAATTGCTTCCATTTCTTCAAGCCATGCAAGATCGATTTGGCAAAGGCTCTAACTGCAGATTCTTCGGACACACCGCTGGAGTGCGTGAAGTGCTGGAGCACAATATATCCAGTGATCAAAGAGCCGCCCCGTGTTTCGTCAATGGGGCAAGCCCAGACGATATTTATGGGCTCAAGAGTGAATGACACAAGTACAGAGCGAGTGATTGCCAGAGAGCATGGTCACAGAAGGAGACACGATCAATACGTACCTCCTCGTAATCTCGTCCGCAATGATGCCACAATGGGAGCGACGCTTTGCCAAACCAACCCTGCGCCTTCTCCTCTCTCGCAAAGCGCGCCCGACCACGAGTCGCCGCTTACGCAATACATGAATCGGTATTGCGAAGCAGTTGTTGATGTCTACGGCAACATCATCTCCCCAGCTGAACCACAGCAGCATCGCCGTGCATCCATGGACGCCCACGACTACCACCACATGTGTACATTACCACCAACCAGCGGCCCAACAGGGAAATCCCCCCTTTCTAACTCATCATATCCAAGCTTAACTACCCATACTCCCGATCTTCGAATGAACATTGCCTACGACTGCTCGGACTGCAACCTGCTCGTCTGCGAGCCCTGCAAAGACGCTTTGATCATTGCGCGCGATCTAGGCGTTGAGAAGCACAAAGCGTTGATGGAAAGACTTCAGGAAGAGAGATTAGCGCGGGATTCGTAGTAGTAGCCATGATTTTCTTCCCCCCCCCCCCCCTTTTGAACCTTTCTGCTGCATGGACGACGGCTTTTTTTCGTCCCCCTCCCTTTTTTAAAAAAAAATCACCTTATATGGTAACGACTCGCAATGCTATTTTTTTAATGTAAAATTCATGAATACATAAACAGTAGTCTTACCCCTGCTGTTGAATTAAAAAGCAATACCCAAGTACACCGACAATAAACACAAGACTACTGTTTTTGCTTCGTCCTCCCCATTTATATCAACTCACAGCCTCTCCCTACAAACTCAACCAATTGCCCCCCTTTTTTTCACCACTATGCTTTTCCCCTCCATTGCTGATTCTCCAACACTTCTCTTTCTTCTTCTTTTTCTTCTCAACTTACCATTCCTTTTTGCTCTCTCTCTCTCTCTTTCTCTCTACTCTTTTTTTCCAACCTAAAACAAAAACAAAAACAAAAATCCCCTAGAAACCCAACATTTCAACATGCACACACACTCTCTCTCTCTCTCTTTCACCAACGTCGTTTCTCTCTTTTTTTTTTACCGCCTAGTGGTTGAATAGGTACGCAATATGACAATGTAGAGAGGAATGGAAAGGGAAAAAAAGAGCTTATCAATGTACAATGTGCATTGTGGTCTCATGTATCTAGACCACAGCAAAAAATAAAGCACATGCAGCCCATGTCCTCACTCATGTACCTGTTCCATTATTTAAGAATGAAAGAGAGAGACACACACACACACATACACACACATAAGCGTTATACGGCGAGCTGAATTAACTTTGCTACTAAACAGATAATTACCGCATAGACCATCAACTTTCTGCAACCATCTGCAACAAAGGTAATACTGATAACAGTCAGTTACTTGAAGAAAAGGCGTCTCTTTAACCATGTGTTTCTCTCAATCAAGAAAAAAACAATCACTACAAATACATCACACCAGACAACAACGAATCAAACAATCAAACACGCATGCGGAAAAAAAAGGTCGAGCTCAAGTTGACTACATTTTTTTGTTACCGGTAGATGAAAAGTATTCACAGACCGGTGTCCTCTCTTTCAAAGATGCTTGATATCGTGCTTCAGCTCCCTTGTTGATTCATCCAGTCGTGAAATAGCCTTGTTGCTCATTCGTTCGTTTCATCCACAACAGACCGTTGGACACAGACACGTCCGGCTTTCAGGCCGCAATGAGTGCTGGCGCTTTCTATGCGCCGAGGCTGGGGAAGGCGCTTGAGTCGGTGATGTTGGGACCGGGGGCACCACCGCGGCCACCACGACCACGGGCATCACCACGTCCACGAGTCTCACCGCCACGGCCACGTCCGCGGAACTCTCCACGACCCTCGCCGCGACCGCGTCCCTCGCCGTTTCCACGCCCACGTCCCTCGCCGCCACGGAATTCGCCACGGCCACGACCGCGTCCTCGGCCGCCGCCCTCACGGGGAGGGGGAGCAAGCATACGGTCACCGTCGAGCTCAACGTGAACCTTTTCCTTGCGCGCGCGCTCACGCTTGGCCTTGCCTTGTCCACCGGCGATGAAGTCTTCTTGGTCGTCGCGGGAGAGCGCAGTACCTTCGGGGAACTTCTGGCTGCTGCCCTCGTTGGCCTTGCGAACGTTCTGGGCGGCAAGAGAAAGCTTCTTCTCGGCCTGCTCAGCAAGGTAGGCAGCGTAGGACTTGCTCTTATCTTCGGGCTCAGGCTCGGCGTTCTCGCCCTCGGCATCTTCCCGGATAGCGTCCTTCTCTTCGGCCTGAGCGATGGCCTCGCCAGCCTGCTCATCAGCCAACTCAGCATCGCCGTCCTTTCCGCCCCAGCCGTGAGCAACTTGCTTGTCGTGTTCGCTAGGAGATATTAGCCTGGTGAAAGTGGGGTGAAAGGTGGGGAAATTTCTCACCTGATGCCGGTCCTGCTGTGACGGTCATCGGCGCGGGCACCACCACGACCTCCACCGCGACCACCGCGACCACGACCGCGCTGGCCACCGCGAGCTCCAGTGCCAGTAGGCTCTAGTTTGGATTAGCACCTACAAAGACCAATCATTGGATCCCCACTCACCACCAGATCCCCTTCCACGGTTCTTGTCAGATCCTACGCCACGATCCCGGAAAGCTGTGCTTCGTTAGCCGTTGTTCGCATAGATGCTCTGCGGAGGTTCTAATGTATCCCCAGCACCCGGCATGTCTGACATACCGTTCTCGTTGGCGTTGTCGGTCTGCTTGGCACGGTTCTGGTGGCTCTGCCTCTCGGGGATGGACTTGGGGAGGTCGGATCCATCGCGCTTGCCATGCCTCATGACGGGCTTCTCAATTGCCCTCGTTGGCGGGTCAGCCGGCCTGTTGGGGTCGAGCTCTGGGTCATTGCCTGCGGGGTCATGAGTGTTTGTTCTGCGACTGTGCCATGTATCCAGACGTACCCAGTAGCTCGTAAATGTTCTGCACTTGGAGTTAGCCATTGGACTGGATAAGAAGACTGCAGCCGGCACTGCAGCTCCCAATTGCGAGGCGCGGATTTGGATTTCGCAGTGGGGTGACCTGAGAGCTTACCTTTGAAGCGATTTGAGACATCTTGACGGATTGGAGCGCCTTTCGCGCTTTGCCCTTCTAGATGCACAATCTGCCGGGTGGAAAAAAGAATGCGAGAGCTTCCCTACGGTGGTTAGGGACGTGGCTCTCAGATGTGGCTCGCGAACGGGGTAATGGGCGCGAAGTTGCGGGCAAGAGGTTCGAAAATCGGCGTGGGTTGCTGCCGTAAGCGAGTCAAGTGGTGCACAGACCATCCGTAGAAAGCACAAAGAAGCACCAAAGGGAGCTCTCTGTGCTGCCGCGTACGACGCTTGGATACGTTATTGTACTATCGCTTGTGAGGGGTAAAGGTGATTTTTTTTCCAACATGTCCAGAAATGCTATTTTACAGGCCCATGGCGCCCGAAAATGGTCGGCATGATTTTGAGTGGTTTGCTTATTCCAAGTGCGCATTCAGACGCAAGTCGAAGTTCACCCATAACCAGTCAGGTGCAACCCCCTCGCCTTAGAGCAAGAATAGGTGGCAGATGAACAATCTGCCTACTTGTGAATATCATTATCAAATTCCTGTGACAGATTTGGTGAGGCGCAAAAATGGCTGTTCCGACCGACTTTGCATTACAATATGTACAAAGCAACACTGAATCTCTAATCGAGAGGCTGCGGTGCCACAGTAGAAGACTGGGTTACTTTTCAAAGCACGCCCAATTCTCGTGGTCGGAGCCTAAAAAAAAACTTCCCATCACAAATACAACTGTCGCGTCCAGCCACAGATTGAATGAAAACTTTTAAATATAACTATCCCAAGGCGACTGGTCTTTCGTATCGAACGCTGTCGTACGGTAAATGACACATGGTCGGTTGGGTAAAAGGCAGTTGTTGCGCCCGCTAAACAACGTCGTCAAGAAGGTATGAATAGGTGAGTTTTTACACGGTCCCTGGTGGACATCCAGAATAATCTTCTCTTACTATCGTATCATTCTCGTAGCATCATCTGCTCTCGTACATGGTGGGGAAGTGCATGCTGGCGGATAGTCCGAATGGATCGGCGTCGAGCATTGGATCGTAAGGGTCGAAGAGGTGGTTGTTGCTCATGCCATTGAAGACTTGGCCGCCGTCGTTTGGTGCTAATGCGGCCGGGCTGGTGAAGGGAGGGTTCTGGGAGGGCGGCATTGGCGGTGGCATATTGTTTGAAGGGGGGAAGTTTTGTTGTGGAAATGGGCCGGGACCGGCAGAGTGATCGCTCGGATCGTCGTGGTCGTAGGAGTCTGCTTGTTCCTCGTACTCCTGCTCTGTAAAAGGATATTAGCCTAGGATTACAAAGTCCTATATTTTAAGTAAAAAGGAAGAAAAGGAAACGGGTTAGCTTGCCCAGTTGACTCATGTGGTCCGTGAACTGCGTTTGGTAGAATGAGGAAGGACCGTTGTTCGGTGTTACACCGTTTCCGCTGTTACCGACAGTCGAAGCATTTGACAGGCCATTCGAGGAAGGCTGATTTGTTACTAGCGAAGGTCGTTGAGCTCCCATCATAGGGGTGAAGTTTGATCTAGGTGGCTGTGGTCGAAGTGATTGCTGTGGCTGCTGCTGCTGTTGTTGTTGCTGTTGCTGTTGTGAATGCATAGGTCCAAAATTGGGGGATACTGATTGACCATGGGGTATGAAATTGGGCGAGCGAGTGGCTGATTGAGCAGGAGATGAAAGATGAGAGCCTGGGGTAGGCTGGGTCAAGGGAGATCGCTGAATAGGACCATCAGGTTGGATCATGGGTAAGCCGTTGGAGGCGTCAAGCTTGGGCGGGCCTTGCAGCGAGCGCCTCTGTTGCTGTCTATTCAACATGGCACGTTGCTGGAGAGGAGCCTGATTGGGCGAGGCATGCGCAGAGAGTGGAGGTCTGGTGGCTCCAAGATTTGGACTGCCAGTCTTTGCGCGCAGCTCAGCCTGGACGTCGATGCCTAGAGGCGGAAGTAGCGGGTTAGCGCGTGTTGCTTGATCAGACGTCTGGGGAAAACGGGGTCAGGGCTATCTACCTTTCTCTAGCAGAATCCTCTCGAGCAGAGAATTCTTATACCGGAGCATAAGGCACTCGTCGGCGGCGTTGCGGTGACTATTTTGCAGGTTCTGGAGAGTGTCCTCATGATGCTTAATGGTGCTCTCCAATTGCTTGATGTACTCTGTTCTTCGCTCGCGGAAGGCGGCCTGGGCCTGCCTGTTCCGCTGCTTGCGCTCTTCCGAGGTGGCATAAATCTTACGAGGCCTTGTTAGTTCTATCATAGATGCGGTAGCAACTGCTGCAGTCATGGCCGGCAATTGGTGGCGGGAGGGCTCACAGGTTTACGGCCGCCTTTGCGCTTCTGCTGCTGGGGCTCTTCCTGGGGATATGGCTCGGCCAGGCCAGGCTCGGGCGACGATCCGATAGACGAGGTCGAACCGTCGCGCTGAGCCTCTACTTTGCCCACGGGAGCCGTCATATCTGTTACGAGACTATCTCCCATCTGCGGCCAGCGCACCCCTCCGTCCTGATAGAGGGGCCGTTGGGCGCCAAGAGATGGGGAAAAGGCGACAAAGGCAGGTCGGTCAGGGTGACAAGAGGCTCTGGTCGCTTAGACGCGCTTGCAGTGGGCAGCCGCAGCGCCGGGACGGGGAATGGATACGGTGTGTATGGGGGATTGATAATGTCTGATAAGAAGAAAGGGTTGGGGCCTGTGGGTGGTCGCGCAGTAGTTGTGAGGTAAGCTCTTGGGTAATGGAAACAAAGATGGGCTCGAACGGAGGGGCGGAAGTGCTGGACTTGAAAAGGCGGGCGGGCCACGCTCTTTTGCCCTGCCCAGCGCAGCGCAGCCAGCTCGACTCCGTGTGGTTAAGACTGGCGGCTGGCCGCCCCAGCAGTGCTTTGTCGGTGGGCGGGCGGGCGGACAGCAAATGGCCACTGTTGGCGCTCCGGCGCTGGGCACCACCCTCGCTATGACGGCCAAGCGGGCGGGATGTGTGTGCACTGGCTGGCCGCGAAGAAAGTTTTTTTTCTTTCGCGGGGGCCTGCGCAGCGGCAGCGGGCAGCGGCAGCATCAGCAGCATCAGCGCCGTCGCATCATCAGCATCATCATCACGAGCGAGGGTGGCAGACTATGGCTGGCCCTGGCTGGGCGTGCGTTCAGTCGACGCCGTGGTGGAGGAGCGCTGAACATGGCTGCTGCTCACGGGCTGGACTGCCATGCCGTTCTGGGCCTAGCGCGCTGCTAGCTCCCGCGCCACCACCACTTTTTGCACTGCTTTCTCCGGTTTCTCCAGCGCACGCAGACGCGCCGCCACAGTGCTGGCTGGACGGCGGCCACCAGAGACGGCTGGCAGATGATGGATATGTAATGGACGCACCAGCCCGCTGCTGTGCGCTGCGTACATATACTGCACACAGGACATACACGTACACATACACACACACCACAACACTCTACACTACGCATCGGCCTGCCTGCCTGCCTGCTCACCCACCCGCCCGCTGCCCCGCTGCGCCACGCGGCTCCGTCCCTTTGCTGCACTCGCTCGGCGTCAGAAAGGCAGAGGCAGAGGCCGACGTCGGCAGGGCCTGGGTTGGCACATACCGATGACCTCCTCGGCCGGCATCTCACCTCTCCTCGTTCGCACACATGGGCTGACGCGGGTGAGGGGGCGCACCTGTCCGCGTCCATAGCTGTCTGCATGACATGCCCCGACCGGCGCCGACAACAGTCGTCCACGTCCATGTCCATGCCACTGCACTGCACGAGGCGTCTGTCCAGCGGCCCTGGCTGGCAGCGCACTTGCTCCCGCCGGGAAGCCGCCAAAGCCCTGGGTCACGCCCATCACTACCACCGCCTTGGCTCCCTCGAGACACACCGAGTTTTGGCCATGGGATCGCCGAAGCCGTTGCTTTTATGCACCGCCTGAGCCTCGTTAACCACGTCCAGCCGTAGCGTCGTCGCCCGCAATGTCCGCCTGAGCACCCACCTGACCTGCACACGGTCGAGACTCGCCATGCCACACCCTCCTCGTCCCTCTGCAGAGCCACAGCGAACAAAGGTTCAAATTCCACCTGTGCGCCCGCAGTGGGCCGGAGCTGCGTATGCCCCGGATATACTTGCCCCTTTGGGCCTGGCCCGCTGCTCCAATTGGATCTTCACCTCTCCAACGACATTGCAGTAGGGGGTGCCCTACACCAACCGCGTCTCCAACCACATGTCTCCCCTCACCCACCACGCTCGTCACATTCCCAGTCGCTCTCCTCATACGATTCCAGCTAATAATACTCCGAGGCCTGCCCATGGGTACGGTACCATTGTTGTTGTTGTTGTTGTTGCCCCCGCTGCTGCTGCCATTGCTGGAGCAAAACATGGTTTATGCTGATGCTTTGAAACACTTCTCAGTTACTACCATCCACGGTCCGCAGTCCACTGTGACCTCACAGCATTGCGCAATGCCTCGTAGAAAATTGCATGTTTCCATTGTTGACGTTGCTCATCGTGCTTGCTGATTTGACTACTCTGTGCGAAATGACTGTAGAAGGAGCAAACACCACAACGCTCTTGCCTCACTGCTTCACTGCCCTGCCCCCGTCGCCAATTGCCCTAATCCCCCCATCTTGCAATACACATTCTTCATGTGCAACCCTCGGACCATAGCCTCTACTCGTCCTCCAACATATCCCAGCATTGACACTGTCTCGTATGACTTTCTTCCCCGTCTTCGCTACTATCACGTCTCGTATTTACCAATCTAAGCCCCCTGAAAAGTAGGCAGAAATGGCCTTCTCAGACATGATTGAGTGTCTGCTAAAGAAAGTAGGGACCCGGGTCCGACACTAGGCAGAGATTACATACCAGCCTGCATCTGTATCCTCCACCACATCCGGTTGGTGTTGCGACTCCGTCTGTGTCACCCGAATACGACAACACGCAATTTCTGAGCTGCAACGACATGATCGGCAGCCCTAACAGCGGGCCCGGCGCACATCCAGCAATCGCTTCTCGTACAAAGCCCCGAGCTTTATCAGACATTTGTGAAGCAACTGAGTCGACCATTGCTGACACTTTGTCACGCGATATCTTGGTCGGGACTCCTCTCCACTGCTCATCCCCTACCGAAATGTCACCGGCTTCTCATGACGCGACAAAACAATGCCACAGCAATGATGCTCGGAATGTGGAGAATGTCGAACCCGAGAGTAGAAACAGCGTCGAAAGCGATGGCTTGAGATACGTTCATCGAGGCAGAAGTTCAGAAACGCCATCATCACCAAATCCCATAGACTGCAACAACAGAACCAAGACATCCAGTGTTTCTGCAAGCAACGTCCCCCCGCGATCATCTTCAAAGTTTCGTGCACGCAGTGTTTCCAGGACACGAAAGACACAGCAAATACCACCCCAGAGCATAATACGAAGCACGACAGCAGAAACACTCAACATGGTACAAGCAAGGCCCCTATCACCTTCTACAAGTAGAACTAGTATCATCCCTAATCATGGCCAATCTCAGTCTCCTGTCCGCCTCACTGCTGCACGCTTCAACCCTGTCGCACATGACACCAACAGGCGCATCCCCTCCAAGACGTTCATTCGCCAGTCTTTACCGAAGGAGCTCCTAGAACATCCGGCACACAGCCATCCCCGAATCCAGCTCGGGTTAGATTTATCAGCAGGAGTATTCGTCGGTGGAGGATGCATTGAAGGCACTGTCCAAATAGACATTGACGATGCGGAGCGGGTACGTCACAAACGGACTCTAGACATTGCTCAGATATCTATCGATCTTCTTGGAATTGAGGAGGCCAGCGGAAATAGGCGGGCTGTGTTCCTGAGCCTGGCTACAGAGCTCATTAACAAAGAGAATCCCCCGCCCCAGAACATGGTGGACACACAACAGTCAATTGGCCCAGAAAATACATTTTGGCATCTTGTGCCTTCTACTACCAATCTTGCATTCAGCCTTAGTCTCCCGCTCGATGTTGGACCTCCCCCGTTCTACTCAAAGAATGCGAGGATCCGATACTTGTTGTATGCGTCCCTGCTCATCAGGGACCGGAGCAAGCGGCATCTTGTCAGAACCTCTGAAGATGTCACTGTATTGCCCGTGTATGATCGTATGTCCTCTAACTACGCCTGTTTTTTTGGGGGGAGGCTCTGACCATATGACAGCTGAAAAGGCACTGGTTTCACTTCCCAGCCCACTGAATGCCTCGGATGAGTGGATCAGGCCCCGGGATACAACTGTAGAGATCATCCGACTCACTGCAGGCATACACCGCCAAGTCTGGGTCAGCGGTACGAACATTTTTGTAGATGTCTATATTGTCAACAATAGCCACAAGACAGTCAAGAAGATTGTGCTTCAGCTGGAGAGAGACATACTATGCTACAAACATGTTTGTAGCAAGAGTCTGTTTTGTGTCTTCTTGCTGATGCTAATGAGAACTGTGTACAGGCTGCTGCATCCACTATGGAGAAGTCTGCAGGTCAGGCTCGTATCTTTGACAGCAATGAGCGTACCATATTGAGTAAAGCAATGGTGAAGAATGGCTCGGCTGGCTGGCATGGCGTGGCTGCAGGCCAAACTCACCTCCGCACCTGCGACCTGGAAGTTCCCCGTGGGCATGCTACAGTGAAATGCGGTATGTCATTGCTGCCATGACACAGGTAGACCACTAATGGCGCAGGCAAATATTTTGAAGTCCGATATTTCCTCAACGTTATCGTCTGCAGTGCACATACGTTAGGATGCACGGATAGCTTCACAGATTAAGCTGACACTGCGTAGAAGACTTGTCACTGTCCAGCTACCGATTGTGCTTATTCACATGGTGCGTCTTATCATGATACTCTGTTCTCTTTACCCACCATTGACCCTTTTGCTGCAGAACTCTCTCGACGTGGTACCCAACTCCGTCACTCAAGTGGCTTTGGCCATCGAGGAGAAGCGTACATCACATCACTCACCCCCACGTCTCAGCCGTCATGCTTCTCGATCTGTCCAAGGTCGCGCATTTGCAGCACCACGCACAGAATCCCTCAAACGCATTCGCGACCAGGACGAGACGATCCAAGAGCTGGGCCGAACCCTTGAACAAAGCCCCCGCAAGTACAATCTCCGTCGCGCAAACTCGAATTTCGACTACCGCACGCTGCCTACAACTACACATGACAGGAATCTAGGGCACGGTAAGGTAGCAGAAATTCAGGATCGTCTGCGTCGCATTCGATCCAATGATGTGGTTGGTTCCAAATATCCTACTACCCTACAAAGAATACATTCCGCAAGTTTAAGACAAGGTGCAGGGTCAGCGCTTGGTTTTCGAGAATCTGAGATATGCGATGATACTGGACTTGGAGAGTTGGATTCGAGTGGTGAAGGATTGTTGGGAGCGAGGTTGGATGGGGTCAACGAGCGCCCGTATTGGTTTAGCAAAAGGAAGAGTTTTGAGAAGTGGAAGGATGTGGCCAACCTTGGTGTTGGGTGGCTAAAGAGTGGTTAATATCAGAATAGGAGAGGGGATAGAGGATAGGTAGGTACAACGTCGTTTCTTTTGTCTTTGCATTATATATATATATATATATATGTGTGTGTGATGTTCAGTCAAGACTCTCTTATCATATGAATTATATTTTGTCATCCTTCGTGTATCTTTTCCTTTCTTCCCTTGAACCCCCCCTTTTACTCTAATGAAATCATATCGTACAATAGCTCCATCTCATTATACGCACACCAAATTTTGATACATATTTACCTCTCTCTAAAAAGCAAAACGAGCTTAATCACGCTCCCCCCCTTTGCACAATTCCAGCTTTTCAAGCCCGACTCTTGCTCAACTCGCTCTGCGCCGTAGCCGTCGGACCGCCCTTGACCCTCTCCCCACCCGTCACTTTCTTCTCGCCGACGGTAATGTCATGCAGCGCCTGGCTGGTAATCGGCTCCTTTGCATGACTCTGCGCCTGCGCCGTCGGGCCGTCCTTCACCGGACGGTTCTGGCCCGTGAGTTTCTTCTCGGCTTCTGTGATTTTGTGCAGCGTGGCTGAATCTAGGGTGCCGGACGGGGTTGTCGTCGTCGTCGTCGTCGTCGTCGGGGGTGAAGATGTGTTTGCGTTTGCAGAAGAGTTGTTGCTGTTGCCAGATGTCAAGGCTGATTGAGCGATGGATGTGGGACCGCCTTTTGCCGGCTCATCGCTCCCGGTTATGGTCTTCTCGCCCATGGTGATGTCGTGGATTATGGCTGCGGTGAGCGTTTGGCCGACGTGGGCTTGGGCTTTTGCGGTTGGGCCGTTGGCTACGGGGTTGTCGCTGCCCGTGATTTTCTTTTCGGCGGCTGTGATTTGCGAAATGAAGTTTGAGTCGATCTGGAGGGCTTGCTGAGAGGTTAGGGAAAAAGGGCGAGTGCTGTGGTTGCTTAGGTCGTTGGTAGAGGCGATGCTTTGGCGGAGCAAACAGGGTGTAGAGGTGAGCCGCGCGGTTGGGCGGGCGAAGAGGAAGTTGCAGTTTAAGCGGAGGAATTTGGATGTCATTTTCGGTAGTGGGATTTGTGAATGTGGTGTTTGGGGTTTGTTTTCAACTACTTTTTTCTCTATACAAATGCAAAGAGAGGATATCACAAGACGTGGGCTTGTCTCTTATGTACCGTGATGGAACTCTGATGTAATGCCCATATTCCACAAACAATGCGCTTAGACTCTAGAGCAGCATACCCGTGTTTTGTGGGAGAGGTGACGTTACTATGGGTCCCAAAAGATGGGATTCTGTAATGTTTGCTGTTTATGGCCGTGCTTTTTTTTTTCACCTAGGCCATTTCAAATTTCTGCATCAATGGCGTTTACATTGCGATGATGATCCTGAGATGCAGGGAGCCGCATCACCGATGGCGTTGGCGACAGCGCGATGCGTGCCGATGGTGTGGTGGAGCCATGATGTCAGCATCTTCTGGGGAAGAAGATGATGCGCCTTCCCTGCATGCCTTTTCACCTGCACCCACCGCACATCTTACGACTCTTAGATGCGGGCTACCGTTTAATACTTAAGCATGTGTGTGTGATGACGCCGTATCAGCCTTGGCGTGCAACGGTATTTACTACGTTAACGGGAGCCCTCTCTATTGGCGTTTAAAGAGACCAACTGCAAGACCACTATAGAACCAGTGTTGCGTGTATGAATTGGACGTTCCGCGGTATATGCCGCATAGTAGATCCGAAAGGTAACTGTACTGTGTAGTATTAGCATGTGGGAGAAAAATAGCCATGTGTTATGTAAGGTTTCTTTTCTTCTTAATAGATACCAGACGTCTCGTATTTATTGCATATCTGTTATATGATTAACTCATTACCTACGCAATACAAAAAACACGTGTATAGCTATGTGTATTTGAAACAGGACATGGTTTTTTGAGGATTCGTCAATTCAAGTATTTGTTACGACTTTTCCGTGTTTACCTGCAACGTTTCGCCGAATCAAGCATCTTATTCGGTCGACACCGTAACGATAGTCGAACGGTGGACTAGTACTCAGGAGGTAGTTACTGGGATATCCCTGCCATGATACATCTTTTGTGATAAATCTCTGATATTATTACACTTTAGACATACATCACATGATCGGCACTGTGTATATCAAACGAGTCTTCAACAATCAGGTCACGACTGACCAACATACTGATAAGATTGATCAAATTAAACCATTTTAGAACCATCATGCTTGAACGCTAGCACAAAATACGAAAAAAAAACAGTCTAAAAACACGGGCCACCCCAGTTTCCCAGCACTTTACGGCGAGGCCCGTCGAGGCCTGAACCTCGTATCGAAACCCTTTTGAGAGACAAACCACGAATTGTGAGTTTTCCACTCGGAATTCGGGCGTTCGAGCTCAATCTGTTAAAAGCACTCCACGTTAGCATATAGTCCCCAACTGCGCAAAAAAGAAGAAGAAGAACTTACCTCAAATCTCCTCAAAAAACTTGGGACAAGCTTATAAATCTCCAAAAGACTAATGTTCTTGCCGATGCACGTCCTGGCCCCAGCACCAAAATGCAACATGGCTCCCTTCATCTCCTTGAGCTTCTCGGGGGTGGCTTCGAGCCAGCGCTCTGGTCGGAAAGCCTCAACATCGAGACCAAAGACTTCAGGTCGGCGGTGCACGACCCAGGCGTTGCAGCCGACAATTGTGCCACCAGGAATGAATTCGCCGTTGATTTGCATGCCCTGTGGTGGAACGATGCGCTCGAGGATGAGACCAGGGCCGGGGTGGAGACGGAACGATTCTTGGATGACGGCGTCAAGATAAGGGAGCTTCTGGGCTTCAGACCACGAAACGGTCTTGTCGGGGCGCGATTCGATGGTGCCGTCGGCGACGGCGGTGTCGAGTTCTCGCATCAGCTTCGCGTAGGCATGGGGGTTCTTGATGAGGAAGTAGAAGACGGAGGAGAGGGAAAGAGCGGTAGTTTCCGAGCCGGCAAAGATCATGGATGAGCATGTGGTGAGGATATGGTTGTCGTCCATGAACTCGTGGTCATGGCTAGCTTGCGCAAATTTGGAGAGGAGATCGACACCGCGGGGATTTGCTCTCTCGTCGTCTGAGAGACCGAAGCGCTTGATCTTCTCTATTTGGTTGACACGCTCGCTGGAGCGTTTCAGGGCAAAAAGCGTTACTGGGTGGACGCGCTTGTCCAGGCCGATGCGCTGAGCAAAGAGCAGGATTGGGTTTCTCCAGAGAAAACGGTCGAGGATGGGCATTTGACCAATCTAAGGGATGTAAGTACAATGATTCATGTGGAGGTCTCTATACGAGTCAACTTACCGGTGCCGCATAGTCCAAAAATTGACCCAAGAAGCCAATAATGCCATCCACATCTTTGTTGCCCTCAACGAATCCAAGACGCTTGCTCCATGTCAACTCGCCAATGACGTCAAACGCAAAGTACTGGAGCCATTGACTGAAGTTGCAGCTGGCACCAGGATTGGCGAACAATTGTTCCGTTCTGTCGAGGAAGTATGTAAGCGTCGAGCTTACGAGAGGCTCATAGTTGACAAGCGAACTCATGGCGAAAGCGTTGTTTACACATCGGCGGTATTTTGCGTGGAAGTCTTCGTCGGTAGTCGAGAAGAGAGATAGTAGAGTTTTGCCTTTGGCTACTCCGCCTTGAACGGGATAAAAGTCAGACTGAGAAGAATTAGGGACCATTCTATACGCTGTTTTTTTGGTATTCGTACCTTGATAAATCCCTTGTTCAGCCCATAGATGATCTTGATCGCTTTTGGGTCCGCAAAAGACAATACATTTGGTCCTATCCGTACAATATCTCCATGTTTGCGATGTAGCGCAATAATGTTCCAGTGGTGATTCCGTGTGTATACGTCCAAGACCCTCCACCAGTTGGTATACCCAGCAAGCCGAGGCCCAGGATATTTGTTCAGCCCTTTCCAATACTTGTTGTTGAGTAGAAACGCAAGCGTAGTCGTAGCTAGCACTAGCGGCCAGTATCGCACGAGTAGCGGAAGAATCTCGTTGACGATCATCTTGTGTAACCCAGTTTCAGCAGTGATGGGTGCAGTCAATCCAGGGTCCAAGTATTCACGACGTCCGGAACAGGGCAAGCAGAGCACCTTATATATGATTTTCGGTATACATGCTTGAATTTGTAACCGGTAACTCGCAATCGGACCTGTGCCGTCATTTCCTGATCCAATGCACTCGGATGCCACCGGTCTGGTCTACGTTACGCGTTCGGGTGCTTGTGCGCAGTGGTTTGCATCGGCAGTTGACAGGTTTGACGTGAGACGGCGGGACTGGATCAGTGGCTACAATGGAACGGCTGAAGACGGATCGATAGCGCGGGGGGGTAGAATCCTGGGGGGTTTCGCGGGGTAGTAAACATTTATCAACACCAAAATACATCTACAAAACTGTACTTCAAATTACTTTTTTTTTTAACTTGAACATGTAGTCATTTCAGCGCACTCACCCCTTCCGGGGCGCAACTAATGGACAGCTCAGACACAAAGCGCCGCGTACTATCAGAATCTTAACATATTCCCTCACAATTATTGGGATTTGGCTCGCACTGGCCCAGTCATGCTTCACGCGCTCTGTGCTATTCTAGAACTGCCGGTGTTGGTTGTCTCAACAGCTAAACCTTGTGCGAAGGACAGTGAGAGATTGTGGACCTTGGAAACTTCGGCAGTTGTATCGTAATGTCATGATCGCAACTGCCGGTCTCTTCTTTTAGCCGAGCAGGCGGCCCAAGAGCCCCGACGCTCCTTGTTGCCGCACGTGACTGTGAACACTTGCAGATTCGAAAATTGGCGTATGTCATATGGTATGTATTGTACAGCGCCACTTGCAAGATAGCAGAAATTGCCATGCTACGTAGATGATAAGGAGTAGCATTTGCAGCTGATAGGTCTGATGTCACGTGCGCCCCCAAATCCAGTTTGAGGCGGTCACGATATGACGAGGCTGACAACTCAGCATTTGCCAGTTGTCTCTTATCAACTCGGCAAGATATTCCAGACAACAAACTGTCATGTCCACAGCAAACTCATCTGGTTACCTTCAATGCTGCCAAATGCACTGTATCATACCTCGGTATAATAGTCCTCGTCAGGTGCCACAATATGCGTGACAACTTAGGTCAACCCATTTCCAACAGCTTGTTACTATTGACATTGTATCTTGAGATCCCTTGCACCAATCACGTTTGATACAGATCACTGCACGGAAGAGCCGGATGTCTGTTTATCTATAGACCTACGGAACTCGAACAAAAACATAGCCGTCAGCAAATAGTTACTGCAGCGATCCAACGAGCCATTAATAGACATGATGAGAAGATTTGAGCACTTCTACCGTGTGTACTGCATGCTTGCATATGGTTCGGCCCGAAGTGATCGGAGGATTGGCACCAGGTCCGCGTATAGTGACCCAGTTTTCTCTTGCACTTCAAGCAATATTCATACCGCATCTTCCCTGTCAGCCAAGACCGAAAGTGCACCATCGGAAAGAATACTTCCGTACTGTACACTACTGGGCCACATGGATATACCAAGTTTACAGGAGCAAAATCTAGGAATTTCCACAAGGCCTAGATTTCGGCATAGCCGCGCCTCGCAGTACACACTGTCTCATCTCCTGGGACTTGAATTTCTGTAGGCCATGCACGGGCTTGTGAAAAAAGCAGAGTTGATACACAAAACCCTTGACCCCGCAAACGATTCTGGGCGTAGATAGACCGGGGGGGACGAGTACGTATGATAAAACATTAGTGGGGGATGAGTGGGAAACATCAGATCGGCGTGAAACAACAAATGCTACTGTAGCATCTTAAGCTCAAAAAAGGAAATCAAAGTGAGACCGAAGGCTGCGTCTCCGTGGGGGCAATATATAATTATGATGAGCATTTTTTATAAAGGGAGATGTCAAGAAAGCCGTCGCAGGGATCGTGCGTCGTTCGTGGGTGCCCTCTCGGTGCTGAAATCCCGAGATGGAACATAAACCGTATGGGTGATACTATAAGGAGGTGGAGACGGCCATCTCTTGGAGAAACAGCTTTGAAGATTTAGCTAGCATTTCTCCCAGTAGTTCAATCTGCGTGATAAGTGTATATAGAACCACTTGTTTCTGGCGTCCCATGGTACGAAACGGCAAAACTTCCCGAATGAGAAATGGACAATGTTTGCTTATTGAGGGCAAGAAGGACTTCTTTTAGGTGTACGTCAGCGGCGGCTGGGGATGGTCTAGACGCCATAGTGGAGGTCGAGATGCTCTGACTGTGGAGTGGGAGACTAGTCGAAACAGTGAGGAGTCTGGCGAAGCGCCGACAGAGTTCAACAGTTATGCCGTGCATGCAATGTGCTCAAGAAGGTACGCTAGTGCAGGGAACATGGGTGAACTGATGAGCGAAGCCACCGATGAAGAACAAAGAAAAGCCTTTTTCAGTGCCAGAGACTCCACCGATCAGCCCTATATATCAGTAAACACATATGTATGTGTGTGTAGACAAATGTGACGGTCGAGGGACAGTTTGAGGGGTCAGGGTGCCGACAGCCACTAGGGGCCCATCCGATATCCCCGATCGTGGTGTTCTCAAAGGTGATATGCTAAGGTGTGCGGGTGAGGAGTTGGTGTGGTGGATCCCAGAGATGCGGTAGTCCAAGCTCTCCGTCAAGGATGATGGGGGAGCGGCTGGTGTCCAAGTCCCCCGCCTGCAATCTATCCAGGAAGGGATGGGTAATGGCCAGCCACCAACTCGGGGCAGACCCCTTATACAGAGTGTAGTGTGGGTGGCCCATGTTCCGTTCTCTTTCAGTGACGTCTGTTTTGAGACAACTATACACGAGTGCATTAATACCTCGTTGACAAGGTTGAGCTCAGGGTGTATCGATGTTCCTAAACAAGGCGGGACAAGCCAAGTGTGTGTCGTTAGATCTAGCCCGCTTACTGCTGGGGAAAGTAAGACAGTGGCACTATGCTAAAAGTGAAAGTTGGAGACAGGGGCTTGGGCAACGCTCGCGGGTGGCCAGATGCAGCTGGCGTAACGTGAATACGGTGGTGATAGCGACCCGTCTCTAGAGGGAGGCCGTTGGGTTAGCAGTCACCATGGCTTGCAGTGCACCTGCATTACTGCCCACCACGACCTGAGGATGGACAAGGGGAAAGCTGGGGGTATTGGACTAGAGACACAAGGTTGCAGCGCGGCAGAGGGTTTGGGGAGGAGAAGTCTGGTAGCGCTCGAGATGGGAGGGCAGCGCCGCGCAAGTGCGGTCAAAACAAGACGGGCTAAATTTTTTTTTCTTGTTGCAAGTGCAGGTTTGCTTGCCATGAGTGAGTCATCGGGCTCTGTCACGACAGCTGCATGGACGGAGCCATGGTGGGCAGGGCCCTGCCAGCGTGTAGCGAAACGCAGGCGGGCGGAGGAAATGTTTGCATGAACAGTCATAGGACACGCGGATTCTGCATCGTGAGCGTCATGTTGTGCGTAGGTGGGCGCGAGGACAGGCCGTGGGCGAAGGACAAGCGACGAGGGACGAGGGGACAGGCAATGGATGGATGAGTCGTGGGGGCTCGGAAGGAGAAAGCCGGTTGTGGTCGGCTCAGTGGGGCGGCTAGCTTGGCAGAACCCTGTCGAGCTGAAAATGCGTGAGCATGAGCATCGGCTGTCTGGTAGAGTCAGACGGTCGGAGCATTGCCGTTGCGACTAGGGACAAGTCTGCGCCCAGAGGGGCATGCTGGATGCGCACACTACAGCACAACACCATTGTCCATGTGGGGTAGGCCGCAACGCCGGTCGCCTGTGGGTTTGGCCCTTTTGCCCCCCGGATATTCGTTTGGGTGCGAGGCGCAGTCGACATGTCTGAAACATGGGACATGTACGGTAGGCTGGGTGCTATCGATAAGACCGCCGCGCTGGGACACAAGACGACGACTAGGAGCATACTGGTCCATATCGGACATGCCGGACACTTGCGTAATGCTCTTCGCCGTGCTTCACTTGATCGCCCTCGCTCTCCAATCGCGCCGCCGACGACGTTGCGGGCGTTCAGTGACGAAACCCATCTCCTGTGCCCTGCATGCTCCGCTCCGCAGAGAGGCGAAGCTTTTCTTTTGGGCGGACGGTACTATGTATCTAGCACATGGGCCGGCTGGTCGGACAGGGCGAATTATAGCCAGCATTGCCAGGTTTTTGGCAAGCAAAAAAGACACTGTGGAGAAGGGTACCGTCCCGTGTGCACTGTACCCTACTCTACAGTGCTTTCCACACTCGAGGTACGGTACTTCGGACATGTGCGAGAGCGTCGGCGGTGCCGCCAGCAGTCGACCGTCACCGCCTTGCACCGCCTCAACAGCGCGTCATGTGCTCCGGCCACATGAGTGAAGTGGCGCAACCCCATCACCGCCTCGTCCTGGCCGCATTGCCAGCAGCACCACGGGCAGAAGCAGAAGCAGCAGCAGCAGCAGCAGCAGAAGCATCGTCAGTGCCAGCGTCATGAGGTGCTTCGGGTCGTGCCATGGCTGCCCACGGCCCAAGATGGCATGCAGCCTCTTCCTGCTTCAGCAGCCGCCGGAGCTACTCGACAATGCTACTCTCTGCTCTGCTAAGCTTCTGGGCCGTGTCTGCAAGAGCCGGCGCACATGATCGCGGCTTTCTCGGTAGACCAACCCTGCCCGCCCCCCTGTCCGCCCCGCTGATTGGGCTGAGTGTTTGCAGCCCATTTTTAGGCTCAAGCAACGTCAACCTGTAGACGGCCCAAGACTATCTCGACTACACCCACTCGCAAGACTCTGCCAGCAACACACCCCTTGACAAGCGCAGAAGCCTTCACCCATCCCTTGCACCCCCCGGCCCCCCCCGAAAAGGGCATCAAAGCCGCTGCGCTCCTCTCTCTATCTGGACGCCCAGGGAAGGCTTCTGGAATCCGTGTCATGTTGCAACACCACATGCTCGATAGTAAGCCCAGTCGCAGGCTTCACTTTTTCTTTGCTTGCCAGCTCCGCCAACGGCGTCTAGTCCACCCCGTCCAAGTGCGGCTGGTGCTGCTGCTACTGCTGGTGCTGCCCTTCACGGCCGCCTGTTACGGCCGGCCCCCGTGAGAGCTCTTGTGCGTCTCGTCGAGCCATGGCTCTGCCTGCTTGCTGCGTATGTACCTGGCTTCAGCTGCCATGGTCGGCGGGCCACTCATACTCTCGGCCATACTCGTACACTAACTTTGCTACTTCCACTCGAGAGGCTGATCAAGCGCCTCGTTGCTTCTCATCTCCGGCCATGCATGTCCAAATCGTCATTTGCACATTGTGCCCGCCATGAGCAGCCCGTCGCAATCTTCGCCCACGCCTATCCACGTGTGCACAACGCTTTCGCCGTGCCCGTCGGTCAGCTTAGATCCGACTAAACCTGCAGCCTGCATATTTTCGCCATATGCACGTTTAGACAAGCTAAAATGCGCTGCGCAGGCAAACGGGGCAGTGTGCATGAAATCCTTGCCGAGTGTGTGGCCACGCCGAGTGGCCCATGATCGTCGCTTGTAAGCTCTTAAGAGATGGCACCCACCACCACCACTAGCCTTTCTTCACCCTCCGCCTCCCACCTCGCCTCCCCCCTCCTCATTCGCCCGCTCTTCCCTGTCTCTCCATCTCAATCAAAGGCGCCTCAGCAATCACCACATCCGCCCAGAGACATTTTTTTCCCTTTCCAATCTCTTTTGTTTCTTTCCTTTAAATCGTCTGAATCCGTCCCATCTAATATCGCAATCCGTCTCGCACCTACCACCCTGAAACACACATACCCCAAGGCCACTATGCCGATCTCGTTACTACCCGCTTCGGCTGCGGCCTTTGCGCCCCGTTCCAACGTCAATGTTGTTTTGGCCTCAAAAGCCGAGCCATGGTTAACACAAACGTTGAAGAGAGTCAACCGAGTCAAGCGGCCGTTGAACAGCGTACAACAGCACACGCGCTGCCTGACCGAGACACTATCCGGCCCAAATGCCATCTGGTCGCTTTGCTCCATCATGG